CACCTTAAAGACACAAAGGAATGAATCTGAGGGGGCCTTCACCAGCCAGACTGAGTTTGAATCATTTCTGTCATGTAGCAATAAGCAACTTATTTCCCTGTCTGTGCCTCAGTCTCCTGGCCTTTTAAATGGGCTCACAAGAGCACCTACTGTATAGAACTGAGTTAAAATGTGTCAAGAGCATAGAATAATGACTGGCACATGATAAACAGCGTGAGAGATCTTAGTGCTATTGTTGTCATTCTAATGGATCTAAAGAAATACTTTTTTAAATGCTGCTGCTGCTAAGTCTCTTCAGTCATGTCTGACTCTGTGCGACCCCACAGACCGCAGCTCACCAGGCTCCGCTATCCCTGGGATTCTCCAGACAAGAACACTGGAGTGGGTTGCCATTTCCTTCTCCAATGCATGAAAGTGAAAGTGAATGTGAAGTTGCTCAGTCGTGTCTGACTTGTCGCGACCCCATGGACTGCAGCCCACCCGGCTCCTCCGTCTATGGGATTTTCCAGGCAAGAGCACTGGAGTGGGTCGCCATTGCCTTCTCCATTTAAATGATGAGTTTTTTAAACTAATTAATTTGGCTGTGACAGGTCTTAAGTTCACATGCAAACTCTTATCTGTGGCCTGTGGGATCTAGTTCTTTGATCAGGGATGGAACGTGGGCCTCCTGCATTGGGAGCATAGAGTCTTAACCACGGGACCACCAGGAAAGTCCCTAAAGCAATACTTTTGCATAGGGTTGGCCTTGGTGGTTTTCTGTGTGTGTGGATTCACTAAGGAGAGCAGGAAAAAAAGACACCTGATGTAAACGTTCTGATAAGAATATGGTCTTCCTCGATTTCGCATGGCAGCCTGGAGGGCGCAGCACCTCTGCCCTTGGTCACAGTGACTGCTTGGCACACATCACTGAACGACAAATGTAAAGGCGGACTGATGTCTAGATTTCTAAAACACTGCAGGAAACGATGGGGAAGAGATAGGCTGAAACCTATGAGCTTAGACAACAGTGTATCACTGATGAAAAGGTCCAACAATACAAGATTTCCAGAAGTGATGCTACAAACACAGGCATAAATATCAGCTAGATAAGAGCTATACTGTGAAGAGAAGTCACAGTCATGTCTGACTCACTGCAACCCTATGGACTGTAGCCTACCAGGCTCCTCCATCCATGGGATTTTCCAGGCAAGAGTACTGAAGTGGGTTGTCATTTCCTTCTCCAGGGGATCTTTCCGACCTAGGGATTGAACCCAGGTCTCTGCACTGCAGGAAACGTTTTACCATCTGAGCTACCAGGGAAACCTCATACATACTGTGAAGATGTGCTCGAAAGAAGTGACCTCTCCACTTAAAGCTGCTTTTTTTGCTTTAAAAAGAAGCAGGGGAAGGGGGTGATCAATCTGGTAAAAATTTTATTTAGCATCATGAATTTAAAATTGGTCTCTTCCCTGAAAACAAACAAAATTGGCTTACATGACAGGCAAGATATCAGCTTGGTAAACAAAGGTGCTCTGTCTTGCAGGAAGACTACATTGTTTTCTTACTTCTGTATGCACAACAAACAATTTTGCTTTATTAAAGTGGCAAAAGCCTTCAGGTAGTGCTTTATTTTTTCATTCTCCGTAGAATACTGATTTTGTAAGATGATTACAGTCTGATGTGTAACATTACAACCAAAGTTTTACTTTCTGAAAGATCAGCAAAAATACATCAGCAAGGATATAACTAGTGCATTTACTAAAACATACCATAATCATAAAACCAAGTGATTACAATCATCCTCACATTTGACGTACCAGCTACATCCTAGGAGAGCTGGTATATTTGGCAGATGATTTATAAATGTAAGTAATGACATCCATCAGTCTTAACACTTCTGAAATGTTATTTCTTTATCAGTTAAACCTAAAACAAACCAATAAGAGGACAGAAACATAACAAGGATGTAATCCAGAATGTGTTGAACAGAGACAGTGGTAAACAGTAGGAAGAACACTGAATTGGGAGCCAGTACATTTGGATCTCTGTCTTATCTTTGGCCCTGGATGGATGATCTTGGGTAAGTATTCTGGGCTACATGAATCCTTCACTTTTAAAATGAAGAGAGTTGGCTGGATGGTCCTCTAAAGTCTTTCTAAGATTTGAAAGTGAAAGTGTTAGTCAGTTAGTCGTGTCGCACTTTTTGCGACACCATGAACTGTAGCCTGCTTCTGTACATGGAACTCTCCAGGCAAGAGTATTGGTGTGGGTAGCCATTCCCTTCCACAGGGGATCTTCCCCACCCAGGGACTGAACTCGGATCTCCTGTATTGCAGGCAGATTCTTTACCCAGACACCAGGAATCAGGAGCTTTCCACAATTCTAAAACCTTTGACACCGATTCATTCTTATGTTGTAAAGTGAAATTCCTGACAATACTAACATGGCAGTTGGGGTGAGTCCAGCTCTGCCCACATAAACACAACTTGGTGCTTGTGTTCAAGTCTCTTCCTTCTGGGCCCCGTAATGGCCCTATCCTCAAATTAACAAACAGTAATGATAGGTTTCAGGAGGTAAACAAGCCTGTCCTTTCACTAGACACAAACTCAAAACCCCCAAAGTCATGGTTATTTAGAAAAGCTATAATGGAAGAACTATGAGGAAAACCCACCATATCCTTTTTGGTAAATGGTACAATAACAAAATTCACTAATGGAAGAAGGCACGGACAGATATTAACTATAATACATGATTTTCAACTGTTATTTTCAAACATGCACAAAAATATACACACAATTAGAACTGTATCAATATGAAATATAAATTCAAGGTTCAGCTATACACAGAAGCCTTGGTCATACTGCTAATCTGAACAAGGTTTATTGTAGCTTCACATGTTTATAACTCTAGGGGAGGAAGTTAGCATTACTGATGTTGGCTTCTACTCTGTCATCTGAAAAGCCCACCTCACTCAAATAATCACAGAAATCAAAGTTGTCCCTGCCACGCTTTAGGACACTTCATCCATCCCATACTTTCCTTATCAGAGTACTGTCCTTTTGGTCTGAAAGACTGAATGACTGGTTCCCATCAGCTCCCTATCTGAAAGTAGACTTGATCTCTTCTGATCGGAGGTCAAAATTTGTCCATATTTCTTTCTAATATTCTAATGTAACTCCTATCTCCACTATACTTACACAATTCTGAATACTTAACCAAGATATGCATTCTACAGATTTGAAGAACATGAATGTGTAAAGCAAAATTACTTTGAAAATGTCAAGTTTTCTTAATAAACGTCATCCTTTCATTAAAGTACTAAAGTGCTTCCCATTTGACAGCAGTGATTGCTTTAAACAACTGGGTGTGTTGAAACGTTCTCCAACACCTCTAATCCATGCCCTGTCCCAGGAAATATAATACACTCAGCCCTTCACTGTACACCTCCCGCCTATGGGACAGAGGACTTAGATCCTCTTCTCCTGGTTGAGAATTCCTGATACTGAAGAACTGGCATTGCCAGCTAGATATTTTGTTGAGCTTTGCCTTTCTATAATTTGACTGTAAAACAACAGATTTTTGCCTTCCTAGATATGTCCTTTTTTATAATATCTAAATATGCTTTTCAAACCCTACAGCTCTCTTGTACTCCTCCTTCCTTACAGGATTTTATTTATTTATTTATTTTTTAGATTCAAAATGTATATCTTATTTTTTCCATTTATTTTTATTAGTTGGAGGCTAATTACTTTACAATATTGTAATGGTTTTTGCCATACATTGACATGAATCAGCCATGGATTTACATGTGTTCCCCATCCCGATCCCCCCTCCCGCCTCCCTCCCCATCCCATCCCTCTGGGTCTTCCCAGTGCACCAGCCGTGAGCACTTGTCTCATGCATCCAACCTGGGCTGGTGATCTGTTTCACCCTTGATAGCTTACAGGATTTTAATACACTTCATTAAGAGGGCAGGACAACCCCTCTGGATAATCACTGAACTAAAGTATAATTTCTGAATTACCTATCATGATAAAGCTCAACAACTAAGCTTGAGTAAACAATTTTACTCAGTATTCAATTTAATTGAAGCCCAAGTATTCAATATAAAGAGAAGTAAACAGCATCGTTGGTAAAATGAATATTACAGTGTTGAGTATATTCTGATTATTAAACCAAATTATTTAAACTTCATGATTGAAAACTACTGTAGAGACTGTTTATTATTATTATTATTATTAAGTCCGATTATCTTTTATTTATTTTAAATGTTTTTTTATTTATTTGGCTGTGTCGGGTCTTCTGTCACACTAGAGGCACACGGGCTCTCTAGCTGGGTCACACGGACCTTGGAGCACGCAAATTCAGTCGTTGCTGAGTGTGGGCCCAGCTATTTCGTGACATATGGGATCTGAGTTCACCTCCCAGGGCTCAAACCCATGTCCCCTGTACTACAAGGTAGATTCTTCACCACTGGACCATCAGGGAAGTCCTCAAGACTTGTTTTCAAAATGATTTACTGCAATCATCATAAAATACACCTTTCACACTGGTCAGTTATAGGAACAAATTATATCGCTTTCCTTTGTTAAAATGTTTTCTTCAATTATATAAACTATAGAGTTATACTCTCATTTTCCATTCATTTTCTTATATTCAGAACACTTTTCAGTTCAGTTGCGTCTGACTCTTTGCGACCCCATGGACTACAGCACACCAGGCTTCTCTGTCCATCACCAACTCTCAGAGCTTGCTCAAACTCATGTCCATCAAGTTGGTGATGCCATCCAACCATTTCATCCTCTGCCATATCCTTCTTCTCCTGTCTTCGATCTTTCCCAGCATCAGGGTCTTTTCCAATGAGCTTTTCCAAAAACTTTTAGATTTTTCTAAATAAATTTTTATCAGTGTCTACCTAGTTTAGCAACTTAGAATTGAATCTGTTTGTTCTACAGAACTGCCAATGATCACAAGTGTCTCTTTGATGATGTATAATGATAGGAATATAAAATAGCCATATCTGCAAGAAAAACTCAAACTATCTTTATTTTTCCAAATTCTAATAAAGTGAAACTTCTGTATACTGAAGCTAGAATGATAATGCATAGAGAGCTTTAAAAATAGTTTTGGAGAAAATATGGGCACATTTCTTCCCAAATTTTAAAAATGATTTTCTGTGCCTAAGTTAAACAGATTGTAAAGAGAAGACAGAAAGGGTCTCAGATCCAAGATGAGGGGCCCAAATGAAATCATTCAGTGAGATGGAGGTCCACAGCCCCCAACAAGGCACAGAGTTTAAAATTTAACACCAGTGGCTGTGCTGTCAGTACTCCGCACCGATGCACTTTGCGATGGTGTTCAGCTGGATATTTGAAGTTCCTTCATAGATTGTGCCTTAAAGAAAGGGGAGAAAAGGAACAAACAGGAGTGGAGCCATGGAAAGAGTCTGTCCAAGAATCAGGTCTGCAAACGCCACCTCTGCATTTACTATAAAACTACCAGGAACACTATCCAATGTCCCCTGAATGTGGTATTATTTGACAAGGTAATTTTACCTAGGAGATAACAATATTCCACTTGATTTACAGATTTCCAGAGTCAGTATTGAACAGGTGAAGTTTCCCGTTCCTAAACTATCGAGGCACAAGCGTGGATGGTTTCCTGGGAATAGGCAGTGTTTATGACTGCTGAGTTTCTATCTTCCCACCTGGCAGTACAGCAGCAGAATGCTCAGGCTTGGTTACCCACTTAATGTCTAAAATTAGAACTGAGCTTCCAGGAACAGCATTAAACCAGTCAAAAATATTAACATTTTTAGTAAAAGAACAATTAAGACAGCAGAATTTGTTGTGGCTTTATTGAAAGGCCTTCAGAGGCCTTGAGGCATTTAAAAAGACAATTTGATGCTTAAAAAAAAAATAAATCTACTTTTTTGAAGGGAGAAGTAGGGGGGAAAAAACCCAGCCACAAAAAAAGGAGAGCCAAGAAATATAGTAACTGAAGAGATTAAAACTGCCTCTTCCTAGGTACCACTAACAACAACAAAAAAATCAAACCAATACAACAGCCTAAAACACCTACAGAGTCAAATAAAACAAAATAAATGTTAAAAATTCTATTTACCAATCTTTGCATCTCGGAAATATTTTTCCACAGGGTAACTTTTGGTGTAGCCCACTCCTCCCATCCACTCGATACACTTGCTGGTAATGAGGCCTGCAAGCTACCAAAAAGAAGCACAAATCATGCTGAAACCACATAACTTACACATGACCAACACTCTAGAATATTCTTAGTAACACGGATTCACTGCCATTGGCAACTGGAAGGATCGAGGTTATTTTGTAAATTAACATTTCTTTGTCCCAGTCTCTATACCATTTATGGAAAATTTCCTATTAGTTCATAAAATTCTTTTTTTTAAGAGAATCAGGGTCTTCGTTTTAGATTCATACACTTGTCGACAGTGTCATTTACTCAGCAAATGTTAACCAAGGGCCTTTTTGTATCACCCACTCTGCCAGCCACAATGTCTGGGCACTGACCAGTCACTGCCTTTTTGGTCCTGCTGGTCATTCAGAGAGACGGATGTTGAACCACGATCACCAAAACTGAAAAACTGTATGGGGTCAGAGAAGAGCCTGCAGGAGAAACTGCCATGGTTTAGATGGGGCAATGGGTGAGGAAGGTACAGCCTCGCTGACAACTAAAGGACAAGTCAAGGGACATTTCAAACTGAGGAATGACACGTAGAAAGGCTCCAAGGGGGAAATGGGTTCATCGACCTCAAAGGCCTGAGGACCAATGGGCTGGGGTAGGGGTGAGCTGTGAAAAGGGAATGGGTGTGGGCAGCAGTGGGCCTCATGTGATGTGAGCAGTTTAAATATTCTGCTGGCCCCCAAAAGGTGTCCTGAGAAGGATCCCCAGAAAGTATAAATGTGCATCACCCACATGGCATAGGAACTTGCAGGTTGATTAAGTTAAGGGATGATCCCAGGTTATCAGGTCAGGTCCTGTGTCATCACAAGGGTTCTCATAATGGAAAGAGGGAAGCAGAGAAGGGTGATGTGACCACAGACACAGGAAGATCTAAACACAGGACCCTGCTGGCTCTGAAGACAGAGCAAGAGGCCCTGAGTCTCAGAAAGCAAATGGGTTCTAGAAGCGGGGAAAGAGGAGGAGATGGACTTTCCCCCAGAGCCCCAGGAGGGCAGCTCCAGACACTCAAATTTCACCTCGCATATGTGTGCATGCACACGTGTGTGAACGTGTGTGCATGTGTGTGTGTGTGCTCAGTCACTCAGTGTGTCCAACTCTCTGCAACCCCATGGGCTGTGGCCCGCCAGGCTCCTCTGTCCACGGGATTCTCCAGGCAAGAATACTGGAGTGGGTTGCCACGTCCTCCTCCAGGGGATCTTCCCGACCCAGGGATCGAACTCGAGTCTCCATGTGTCTCCTTCACTGCAGGTGGATTCTTTACCACAGCACCACCTGTGAGGCTCATTTCAGATGTCTTACCCCAGAACTGTGAGACGATAAAACTGTACTATCTCAGGCACCAAATTCTCAGTCGTTTGTTCAAAGCAACAACAGGAAGTGAATAAAAAGGTCCCATTTGTTGTGACGAGTCACTGAAGGGTTTAAAACCGGAGCGTGGCATGGCCTCATGGACACCTGGAAAGGGACACTGGACTGGAGGAAGCCACAGGGACCAAGGAGAAGTTAGAAGGTGACTCCGGTGGTTTGGTAAAGAGGTGGTACAGCTTGGACTAGACAACTGGTAACAAATACCAGGGGAGAGAGAAACAAATTCAAGACAAACTGAGGGGTGGAGTTCTCATAACGGATGACGGATTCAACAGGCAGCGGGAACACAGGAGGGCCGTCGAGGGGACTCGGGTTTGTGACTGTGCAGGGTGGGAAGGGACGGTGGCGGTCGGGGAGGGGGGCGGGGGGTAAAGCAGAAGCGGATCTGTTAGTCTGGAGCTCAGAAGGGAGGCTGAGGCACAAGATTAGACCTGAGGGCTGAAGGGGTCAAAGAAATATCCGAGGTCAGGGAATGACACACACTGCTGAGCCCCGTGATGGGACCAAGTTTCAGCCCAAGTCCAATGTGTTACACGCAGAGTACAGTCAACACATGGACAGCCTTTTCCTGCTATTTTCCATTTCACGTTATCTCCAGGGCATTCGCTTCGTCCCAACTTGAAACCACAGCCACGATGCCAGTGTTCAGCTGAGGCTCACCTAGGGATTTACAGTGGGTTTTCCACCTGAACTGGGTGACTTGGTTTCCCCCTGAGAGCCATGAGAACATGGAAACCCTACAGAGTTAAAGCACCCTCTTATGGCAGCTTTACTTTCTTGCATTTCCTGTGTAGGAACTAGAAGGTCCACGCTATTTTACTTGAAAAACAAACAAATGTTCAAGCAATGTTGCTAAGTGACAAGGTTAATAAATAAATATCTTAAAAATTAAAAGACTGCAACCTGAAACTATCACAGCATTGTTAATCGGCTATACTCCAATATAAAATAAAAAGTTAAAAAAAAATTTTTGTAAAGAGGGCATGACTCTTGTTCGCTTTACCTCTGATGCATGGTATTTGGCCATAGATGCTTCTTTGATGATTGGCCTTCCAGCTTCTAAGAGCCTCGCAGCATTGTATGTGAGTAAGCGTGCAGCTTCCAGCTGGGTGGCCATGTGAGCCACTTGGTGCTGGAGCCCCTGGAATAGTCAGACCCAGTGTAGAGAATCACGATTTCTGCAAACACAGCTCATCCTCAAAATCCTGCCTGGGTATGGAACACTGACAGACTCAAAACATACTTGCCCAAAAATAAACATTCATTTTTTCAAAAGTGTTAGTTATACCCAATTCTTTTTGACCTCATGGACTGTAGCCTGCCAGGCTCCTCTAGTCCATGGGATTCTTCAGGCAACAACACTGGAGGGGGTAGCCATTCCCTTCTCCAAGGGATCTTCCCAACCTAGGGATTGAACCCAAGTCTCCTGATTGCAGGCAGATTCTTCACTGTCTGAGCTACCAGAAGGTAGCTTAAAACCTGCAATCTAAAATAAACCACTCCACATATTGCTTCTGAAAAATTTTTCAAAGTTCAGGTAAATTGTTTACAACTGCTGAGATTTAAAGCCTTCCCTGCTGGCTCAGTGGTAAAGAATTCGCCTGCAATGTAAGAGTAGCAGGAGATGCAGGTTTGATCCCTAGGTCAGGAAGATCCCCTTGAGGAGGGCATGGCAAACCACTCCAGTATTCTTGCCTGGAGAATCCCATGAACAGAGAAGCCTGGCGGGCTACAGTCTATGGGGTCGAGAAGAGTCAGATACAACTGAAGCAACTTAGCATGCATGCAACTTAGTCAAGCACTTGAAACATCTGAAACAAAGTGAAAGTCGCTCAGTCGTGTCTGGCTCTTTGCAACCCCATAGACTGTAGCCTGCCAGGCTCCTCTGTCCATGGAACTCTGCGGGCCAGAATACTGGAGAGAGTAGCTGTTCCCTTCTCCAGGGGATCTTCCTAACCCAGGGATTGAATCCAGGTCTCCAGCATTGCAGGCAGATTCTTTACCATCTGAGATACCAGGGAAGCCCCTTAAAACATCTATTTGATTCCAAATCATCCTAAAGAGTCTGCAGTGTTATTTTTATAGATGAAGCAGCTGAGGTTTGCAGGGGTGATGTAATATGCTCAAGGACTAAGCCAGCAAGACAAAGAACCGGGACTCTAACCCAGGATGTCTGACCACAAACCCCAGGGTCTGGAACTTGGAATCCATGAGGAGGCAGCTCCCAAGTGCTCACCTGTGTATCCTGAATCATACCATAACCAGGCCTCAAGGACTACTGTTCTGCCCTTGGAGAAGGTCAAGGCAGTCACAAGTATACACACTGACACCTATTCCTTCTTCCCTGTGCCTCTCCCATTAAAATCCCCGAGAGGATTCCCTTGCGGCTTTGTAACAAAGCTTTTCATTAACAGGAAGACAAGAGAGTATGGAACAGTAGAAAGATGTCCATAATTACATACCTGAAAAGTAAATACGCTTCTGCCAAATTGTTTCCTTTCTTTAATATATGGAATAGTGTAGTCAAAACAGCCTTGAGCCAGTCCCAGCATCTGTTAAAAAAAAAATCAGACTTTCTTATTTTTTATTAATAGGATATGTTCTTAATTATTCAGGTTACAAATTCTTTTTACAGGCAAACTGAAAAGTTGGGGTAGAGAAAGAATTAGGCATACCAAGATGGTGAGGCATGTTAATGACCTTCACCCACTGCATTTAGAGACCTTAAGGTCTAGTAATTGGGAGAACACTTCCCTGATGGCTCAGTGGGTAAAGAACCTGCCTGCCAATGCAGGAAATACAGGAGACTCGGGTTCGATCCCTGGGTTGGGAAGATTTCCCAGAGAAGGAAATGGCACCCTCTCCATATGCTTGCCTGGGAAATCCCATGGACAGAGGAACCTGGTGGGCTACAGTCCATGGGGTCGCAAAAAGTCGGATGTGACTAAGCAGGCAGGAAGGCAGGGTTTTCCATCTTTCTCTGTGTTCTATTGCCACTGTTGCTAAGCTTAGATTAGGAAGTCATAAAGTCATGAATGGGGGAAAATGTGAGTAATTTCCTATGAAGAGTACATTTGATTCCAGCATGGAGGTAGACTTTTTGGCGTGGTTATGCCCACTTTTACAAATTCTTCTTTAAGCTTGAGTCTCTAGGCACAAACTAAGCCTCAGAAATTTTATCACTTCTGAACCTTCTATCTTCTGGTCCATTTTGTATATGATCAGGATTAATAAGAGCTTTGGTGCTGGATAAGACTCTTGAGAGCCCCTTGGACAGCAAGGAGATCAAGCCAGTCAATCCTAAAGAAAATCAACCCTGAACATTCATTGGCAGGACTGATGCTGAAGCTGAAGTTCCAATACTTTGGTCACCGATTATGATGAGCTGACTCATTGGAAAAGACCCTGATGCTGGGAGAGACTGAAGGCAGGAGGAGAAGAGGGTGACAGATGATGAGATGGTTGGACAGCATCACTGAATCAATGGACATGGGTTTGAGCGAACTCCAGGAGATGGTGAAGGACAGGGAAGGCTGGCATGCTGCAGTCCATAGGGTCGCAAAGAGTTGGAGAGGACTTAGCGATTGAACGACAAGAGCTTGGGTGGGTTGGGTGTCAGAACCTAAAGGAGCAGTGTTTCTCAACCCTGACAGCACGTCAGAATCATCTAGGGGAATTCAAATAATAAAAATACCAATGTGGGGTTGCCCTGAGCAGTAACCTCTCCAGGACCCCAAATGCTCAGCCACCCTCCTTCCCTTGCTGCTTGACTTAGAGCAGAATATGAGAGGGACCCTTTTCATACTGTTCATGGGGTTCTCAAGGCAAGAATACTGAAGTGGTTTGCCATTCCCTTCTCCAGGGGACCATGTTTTGTCAGAACCCTCCATCTGCCTGGCCTGCTGCAGTCCATGGGGGTTGCAGAGTTGGATACAACTGAGTGACTGAACTGAACCGATGGGAGGGACCATAAAGCTAAGAGTCTACCCGGCACTGGGGATGGGTCCTTAAAGGCACTTCTTTCTGGGGCGACGAAAAAGTTCTAGGATAAGAGTGGTGACCGCTTAGTAACATTGGGAATGTAACACATGCTACTGCATTATTCACTTTAAAAGGACTAATTTTGTTATACAAACCTCACCTCAATAAATTATTTTCAATGGTGGAAAAACAAACAAACAAACAATGTGAGGGCCTAGCAACCAAACCCAAAGCCTGGGCACGGGACCGGGGTGGGGGAGAGTGGGACTGGGCACCATCATTCTGAAAACTCTTTAATGATTCAATGCACAGCGAGAGTTGGGGGCAACTGACACAGAGGTGCCAGCAAAAATATCTGTGTATACATTTGAGGAACAAATCAGGATACGGTGGCAGTTATAACTGGACTGTCTCATTGCCATCCCAATCTCCGTAAGAACTGAATGTATTTGAGCTTAGAAACTGTTTCTACATTTTAACATAGGTAGCTGTTGAATCACTATCTAATTACATCAAACCATGTAAGTTTTAGAAAAAGGAAAAAGAAAATCAATAGTTAAAGCTTTTGGGGGAAATGCCCACAAACTTAGCAATATTCCATTAGTGGAATTTTTCCTCAGCGCTTTACTTTGGACTTTCTGGAGGATGGACTATTATGCTCCATTATATTAAGGACAAAACCCAAACCAAGTCAAAACCCCAAAAGCAAATTAAAATGAGGCAGCAACTCACTGCACTTTCGGCTGTGAGAGAAGATGATGTTGTTAAACCCTTACAACTAAAGTTCACAGGATGCCAACAATTGGTATATGGACACAAATTGTAGTGATCACTTGTCAGTCAACACAGGCTTTTCCAAAACAGAGTACAATGTGTTCACTATAAATAGTGAAAAGCTAAAATTCTTTTCAACTACAGAGTTTTGATGATGGACGCCACTGTTGCAGGTATCTCCTTCTCTAAAAGGCATTCACAGTATTAATCAAGAAACAATAACCACCAGACCTTACTCTTTGTTTCTCTTTTTTCTGACCTTAACTTTTAATTAGGTTTTAGGATAACTTGGAGTAATTAGACTAAAGCCCAGGCTGTGTATTTACTGCCAGCCATCTATATTATTTATGTGTCTGGGAAGAACAAAACCCAGTGCTATAGTTTTTAACGCCACATGTGATGAAGCTGAATCACAGAAAAACTTTAAAAAGAACAGATAAGCCAATTCTCTTTACTGATATGTTATCTATGCTTTGTGGGAAATATGGGTTAAGTTTGAGCTAAGAATATTTTATTAGCAGATTAACAGCAGGGGAGAAAAATCTAGAGTAAAATTATAATTTAATTATTCCAAATAGTTAATATATGCAGTATCTTCAAAATCTAAAAGCTGTTAAGTTTTTGAATTCTGAATACTCACTGATTAAAAGTTAATATGTTACAAAAATGAATTCATAAAAGCAAAGATTTCGTGATTCTAGAAAACAACTGGTGTCATCTAATAGAAAAATTTAATATGCTATTTAAAGGGCAAATTTGATGTAAAAAAAAAAAATTGAATAGTTCTTATTGTATATATCTGTTTAATTGTTGTCATTTTATCTCTAAGTGCCAGGCCAAAAAGTTGTTTGATTTTCACATGCAAATCACTAAGTAAAAATCTTTCATTATCTACAGAGACTCTACTACACAATAGATTATAACTTTTTCCTTTTTAAAAAATATTTATTTACTTATTTTAAATGTTTATTTATTTATCTGGTTGTTCTGGGTCTTAGTGTGGCACCTGGGATCTTTGATCTCCCTTGTGGCACGTTTGATCTGGTTCCCTGACCACGGATCAAACCCGGGCCCCCTGCACTGGGAACATGGAGTCAGCCACTGGACTGCTGGGGAAGTCCCCTAAATGTTCAGTTCAGTTCAGTTCAGTTCAGTCGCTTAGTCATGTCCGACTCTTTGCGACCCCATGAACTGTAGCACACAAGGCCTCCCTGTCCATCACCAACTCCCAGAGTTTACCCAAACCCATGTCCATCAAGTCGGTGATCCCATCCAGCCATCTCATCCTCTGTTTCCCCCTTCTCCTCCTGCCCCCAATCCATCCCAGGGTCTTCCCCTAAATGTTACTTACTCTTAATATTAAAAATTGCAAAATGAATTGCATGCTTTGAAAAGTTGATTTTCAAAAAAATACCACATTAATCTACAATGTACTTGTTATCAATCCAGGTATTACATAATACTTTAATGCTCCCAAAGCAGAAAAAAACTGTTAGCTCTAAGCCACTGTTTGGGTCTGAGGACATTACATAATTGACGAAAGTGGAATTTTAAAGAAATTGCAGCCAGAAGCTATTCTTTGATTTCATGGAAGGGAAGGACGCCATCTTGTGTTGACAAGCTTCCAAATACTCACTGGTTTTACTGATTTTTTTTTTCCTTTTCACATTTTAATTGACTGTGTGTGGAAGAGTCAAGTTAAAGGGCTAAAGTCTGACTAACCTGTGCAGCGATTCCTATTCTGCTTTCATTAAGACTCCCGATGGCGTACTTATAGCCATGTCCAACTTGTCCCAGGACATTTGTTTTTGGAACCTGAAAAGAAAAATGTGCAGTTATTTCTCACTTTAATTTGCCATAATTCATTTTGATTATATATTTTTAAATGCACATATACCCTCAATTTCATGATAACACTCTAGCATAGTATTCATTAAACTCCAAGGAAATTGTCCAGTATGTCTCTGTAACTCCTTCTAAACTGCTTCCCACGAACTCTCAGAGGGATAGAACTCAAGTCCATGCTGTTCACTACTGCATCCTCCAGAGCCTAGCACAGACATCTGTCGAATCTAGAAGAATGAAATCTCATACAATTAACAACATAAATGAATAACAATTCCCCCCCTCCCCAAACTCTTACTTGTATGCTACAATGTGAATAAACTATTAGGAATAACAGAAAACATGTAAGGGTAGTTAAGTGTTTTTCTTCTGTTGAGACTTCTTGCGACAAAAATCAATGGAGTGATGTGTGTGTACACATCCATGTGGACACATGCATGTGCACACAAGATAAAGGAGTGAAGAAATAAATTAAACTGTTTACTCATATTTTAAAAATTTAGACTAGGATCAATTAAAAAAAAAAAGACAGCAGAATTCCCTGGCGGTCCAGTGGTTAGGACTCTGCATTTTCACTGCTGGGGCCACAGGTTTGAACCCTGGTTGGGGAACTAAGATCTCACAAGCTGTGTGGCATGGCCACAAAAAAAAAAAAAACAAAAACACAGAACTGCTTTATAGAGAGCAGGAGAGAAATAAAAAAAAAATACACTTAGCTTCTTAACATGAGCAGTTAGGAGACAAGAGCGGGCAGCGTGGGGAAAGCAGAAAGAGATGAGGAGACGAAAGAGAGCTGGGGTGCAGCAGCGAAGCTCACACGACACCATCAGGACACCCCAGGAGCACAGACAGTCACCAGGGAGCCAGGAAGGTGACATGCTCACCAGTGGCAGCTGACCGATTACACCCTGCCCTAACTCAGTCAAGTCTAAAGCACCCCATTCTAGTCATCACGGCTTTTTTTTTTTAAGACTCAACTCTCACCTGCGGGGGGCTGCCTGGCTGTTTTCCATTCTTACTGGGCAACAGCCCCACCTTGTGGCCTCCTCTGAAGCCACGTCTGGCGCACCTTAAGTACCAGGCTGCTAAACGGTGAAGGAGATGGCCCTGGAGACCAGCGGCTGGGCAGACCGGTTTCCATCCTTGGTGTCAATGCTTGTGAGAAGCACGCTGAGGTCATGACCTCAACTAAGATCACTGTTGAAGAGGTTTGCAAAATACTCTCCTGTGTAGGACTAATAATTTTGATACCTTACTAGCATCTGTACATATAGGCAGAGCTTATTCCTTGTCTAAGATACCCACCTTGACATCTTCAAATGTGATTGGGCAGGTGGAAGATGCTCTGATTCCCAATTTGTTCTCTGGTTTCCCTATATGAAGGCCCTCGGAATCACCATCGACCAAGAAGCAGGTAATTCCTTTATACCCCTGAAATGCAGATTTAAAATGCTATCATCACCACTTTGACTGAGAAGATCTGTTATTGCCAAAGGGCTCAAAGTAAACAGAAAACTAAAAGCAGACTTTAGCACTAATTACTAATGAACTCAGAATTGCACCACGTGTGTTATGAAACCAGAGCGGTGAAAGTAGACTCAATATCAAGAACTTCACTCTTTATTTTACACTTTCAGAAACCACTGTTGCTATTAAAATTATTAAGCAACACAAAAGTATTACATGATTAATTCCCCAACTTAAATTTAACTTCATTTTATAAATTTAAAAATTTAATTAAATTAAATGTAACCCTAGAGAAAAAACAAAAGCAATCTTTACCATTTTGCTATATGTCTATTTTTCAACTGAATGTGTATGTGCAAGCTGTCATGTCCGACTCTTTGCAACCCTGTGGACTGGAGCCCACCACGCTCCTCTGTCCATGACAGATACTCTAGGCAAGAAAACTGGAGTGGGTTGCCATTGTCTCCTCCAGGGGATCGTCCAGACTCAGGGACTGAACCAGCGTCTCCTGTGACTCCTGCACTGGCAGGGGGATTCTTTACCCCTGAGTCATCTGGGAAGCCCTTTTTCTTCTAAATGAGAATAAGCTCTTCTTATTTTAAGAATGTAATAAAACATTCTTAATAATAAATGTGCTAGAAAAAGAATTTTAAAAAATGTGCTAGGGGACTTCCTGGCTGTCCAGTGGTTAAGACTTCACCTTTCAATGTAAGGGGTATGGGTTCAATCCCTGGTTGGGGAGCTGAGATCCCACATTCCTCCTGGCCAAAAAATAAAACAGCAGCAATACTGTAACAAATTCAATGAAACTTAAAATGAGCCACATCAAAAATTAATAAATAAATGTACCAAATAGCTATCTAAATTCTTCATTATTAAACAGAAAATCTGAAATTCTATAAAATTCAAGATTCTAGCCTCCTGTCTAACAGATTAGGAGATTAATTAAATGGTCCTCCATGTAGCTAAAATTTATTGTTAATTGTAATATGTGTTTTAGGAGGTTAGTAAATTAAGCGGATGAAAAGATGTTGGCTGTCTAACCTTTCCAATTCTGAGGAGAATGAAGAATTTAAGACCAAGTCCTAAGAAGAAAATGGACGTAAGGAAAAGAAACAAAGAGAAAAGATGAGGGGGGCAATGGCGAGCATGTTTATCTTCAAACTTACCGCAGAAAAGTCTGCATTTGCCAACACCACGAACAGTCCAGCAATCTCAGCGCAACTAATCCACATCTTTGACCCGTTGATGATGTAATAATCTCCCTTTTTATCAGCTCTGGTCTTCATAGCAAATGAATCGCTACCTGCTCCAGCCTCTGAAATGCAGATACTTGATGCCTACATATGCAAGGAAAAAATTCCAAATTAAGACCTATATTTATATTTATTATATTTATATTCTGGATAACAAATACCCACTTACAGCAAAATCAACATTTGAAAATCAAAAACTTTTAGCTACTTCCAAAAGCCTGTACATATCAAAATAGTAATGGCATTCTGACAGCATTATTTCCCAAAATATATCCCACTATTTGTCTAGGTCAGACTTAAAGATCTAAGCACACATATTCAAAGTTACGTTTCATTAAACTGGTTTTCATAATTGCAATGTGAATGAAACTACCAATCAAAATAATAGATGTAATTGGGCCCAAAACAGAAGTAATTTAATTGTGCAGTGGTAATTCTCTAAATTTCCAAGTGTATTTTTCTAGTGTGCATTAGCCACTCAGTTACGTCCAACTCTTTGCAGTCCCATAGACTGTAGCCCACCAGGCTCCTCTCTCCATGGAATTCTCCCAGCGAGAATCCTGGAGTGGGGTGTCATGCCCTTCCAACCCAGGTCTTCTGTGTTGCAGGCACTTTCTTTACCATCTGAACCAGCAGGGTAGCATTAATTTATTGAGCTTGAGTAATTACTGCTTGAGTAATTAGTGGTGCTGTGTTGTGGTCGTAAACAGAAAAGCCAACACTGTAGCTACTTTTCTCCTGAAAACATCCTACATTTAGACAAGATCAGATCCAGGTCAACAACTCATGTCAACTCACCATTTCTGTAGCTAGCTTGGGCAAATAGGTAGCCTTCTGTTCTTCTGTTCCATATTTTCCAATCATCCTGTTAATGAATGTGTTCTGAATGTCACATACCAGAGCCACAGATGCATCAACTTTGGCTAACTCCTCTACCACTAGGATAGAGGAAAAAAATGAAGCTCCCGTTCCTCCATATTTTGTGTCAATTTCAACACCCATCAACTAAAGGAAAAAGAAGGAAACACACACTAAGAAAGCTATTTTTTATATGGGAAAATTTCTTGCAAGAATGAGTTCAAAAATAATTTGTAACTATATACATTCTTAATTTTTAAATTCTGTATGTATATCTTATCTTTATTTGGTATGGCTCTATCCCTCTAATAACAAAAAAAATCTGTAACAGAAAAATCTATAACAGAAATATGTTTTCAAAAGACAAAATGACATGCTAGAACTATCAATTATTTGCTTTTGGTATCTAAAAAACAGAAATAAGAGAGGTAAAATAATAGGATACTGAAATGGAATAGCAATAAAGTATGTAATAAGGAAACTGGAGAAAGCAGAAAATATCTCCAGTTTCACTGAGCAGACTCTCTTTGAGTCAGTCCCCTCCACCTTGATCCTTTAAACTGAGATAATAATTGAATGAATAACTGAATGACCATTCTTTTGGGCACTATTTCAGCAAGTCCAGATGGTTAGCAGACCACATGTGGTCTAGTGTTTCCTAGAATCACACACAAGACAAGGCCCAGCTGCCTGACAATCATGGTCAAAACTGGTCAAGGCTTTTCAGTTAACTGCCTGACTGTTCAGTAACCAGTCCTCCGTCTGGAACATGAAACATCCACAGTATTCCGTTTTTTAAGTATCCTTGTTTCAGAAAGAGAATGTGTGCACATGTAATTCAAGACCCAAAACTGTGAATACTCTGACCTCTCTTCACATAGAATAAAACTTCGGCCTTTTACTGAGGTGGGTGGGGGGACACACAAAGCCGTGACCAGGCAAGGAGGAATGCTTCTCTCTGTTCTCTCCAGGTCGCAGGGAGCTACACGCGCTGCAGCCAGGGTTCAGTGTTGTTTCTAGCTGATGGGAAACTTAGCTGACAGGAAGTGAGAACTGCAAGGGGGAGGATACAGGGGCTGAGCAAACCCGCAATGATGTCCTCTGAGGAAGGATTCGGGACTGGGAATGCCTGGAGGCTGACAGAGGCGTGAGAATACTGGACTATCGCATCTTCAACAGCTGTCAGAGACACTGCTTCTCTAAAAAGGTCACCGATGGACATATTTGTCAGTTATCTTGGCAGGTGACCTATGTAGAGGTCAGAAGTTAGGAGTCATGTGAGGCCGAGAACAGCTGATGCAAGATATGAAAGAACGCAGACCCCCAGGGGGTGTGTGACAAGCAGGCAGGAGTGACTGCGATGTGGCAGGCAACTGTTGCTACAAAGGACCCTGCCTGCAAGAACTACCCCCTCGCGAGACGGAAGCTCAAACTGTGGGACCCCAAGACCTCTCAGAGAATTGAGGTTCTGTAAATGGACCTGGATGAGAAATGGGTGTTTTCTGAACCACTGTGACTTCACATAAGATTCTATTTTCCCAACAGTTTCACTGCTAAAAGAAAGTTGAAAAACTACTACTGTATGGTATTTTTTTTTTTTTTAAAGCTAGTATTATTTGAACAGTAAGAAATAAAACAATTACTGGAAAAGGCTAATTTTCAAACATGATAACTGGTCAAGATTTAAGACAATGGCTCTGAACTAATAGGGACTATTAGTTCTGGGACAGCCTTGTGTGCTAAGTTGCTAAGTGTCCGACTCTGTGCGACCCCATGGATAATAGCCCACCAGGCTCCTCTGTCCATGGGATTCTCCAGGCAAGGGTACTGGAGAGGGTTGCCATGCCATCCTGCAGGGGATCTTCCCAACCCAGGGATAGAACCTGTGTCTCTTACATCTCCTGCATTGGCGGGCAGGTTCTTTACCACTAGCGCCACCTGGGGTAGCCTTGCATGTGTGTGCTTAAGTCGCTCAGTCATGTCCCCACTCTTGGTGACCCCATGAACTGTAGCCCAGCAGGCTCTATGGGGATTCAGCAGGCAAGAATTCTGGAGTGGGTTGCCATGCTTTCCTCCAGGGAATCTTCCCAACCCAGGGATTGAACCCAGGCCTCCCACACTGTAGGCAGATTCTTTACCAGCTGAGCTACCAGGGAGAGCCTTGGTATTCCAAAAAAATCAAGAAAAATCTTCTTACCTATACAGAAGGGAGAGATGAAGAGCCCGGTGATTCTGAAATGTTCTCCATGGGGCTCCCATGCTGATAACCTCTCCCTATACTCACAGTCAGGACATTTCTATTTTTATCTATTTTATATACTGTGCTTCTATTAAAGCACCATGAGTTTCTAATTAAAAAGTTGGAAACTGGTTGCCCGGGTTAAATCTGATGGATTTCAGATATGAACCTCTTGCTTTTAGGTTTCCTACATACATAGAGATTCAGGTAGATGCTCTGGTGTGAAGTTTTACTAAAGCAAGTTTTCGTATCCTTGGCGTTACTAAGCTGGATAATTTTGTGTCTCAGCAGGCCATCCTGTGCACTCTTCGATGTTGTGCCTGCATCCTACTAGACGTCAGTGGCACATCTAGTTGTGACTACCAATGTCTTTAGACGTTGCCAGATATCCTCTGAGGAACAAAAATAGACCCCAGTTTAATACCACTGGTCTGAAGAAATCACTCTTGCTTCTAACCTTTTACTTAAAAAGCACCGGTATTTCTAATTTTAAAAGTTAATTCAATTAAAAAAAAATTTAACTAGGCTCTCAATCTGAAAGAGAAGTCACATAATTCTGACTAGGAAATTATGCCATCATTACCATTCCTAAATTTAAAGGTATGCATGCATTTTAACACTGGAAGGTATTTCTGAAAGTTTGAAATTAGAATAATCATGAATTATATACCCCTTGTTGAAATAATCCTTGTATTACGGATTTTTCCATTTTTGAATCTTCATCCATTTTTGAAACAAAAGGAGCAACTTGTTCCTGGGCAAATCTTTTAACTGTAGGGGAAAAAAAATACTAATAAGTCTTTATTTTATAAATCTGGCATGTATTAATTTAAAAAAAAGGAAAAGAGGAAGACTTAAAATTGGCAAAAATTCCATTCACAAACTTAGGAGAACACCGCCCCCAGTCCTGTCACAGGCCATGTGATCTCATAGCAAAGGCCACGCCGTAACCTGAGGGGAAATGTGGTAAACCCGGGTTCACTCACCTGTGCTCTTTATCATCATCTCCTCATCGGTAAATGTTTGCAGAGGGGCAAGAGGTAGTCCATTGGTTGCTGCTTTGAGCTGAGCTTCCGGCTGAGAAGAACTTAGGGCGTGAGGAGGAGTTTTCCAGGAAGACAGGCAGCTTGGGAAGTTTCTTCGTAGCTGTGCGAACCATCGCCATTTCGTAGGGAACACGCGCACACGCGCCAGGGCAGAAGAGCATGTCAAGAGGAGAGAATGTCAGTTGCTTTGGGAGTCAACTTTACAAACCCACCCTTTATAACGTCTTTCAGAAAAATAAGGGAGATTGGCCTGGCGCCTGGTCACATCCTGTACCAAAAACCACAGGCTGTGTGATCCGGGGAGGAGCTGTTCTAAAGGAATACGCCTCCCCACATAATTACTTCTTACCTTTGAGGAAACAGAATGTTCCAGGTGGAACTCATTCTTCAAATGACACATTTCTGTAACCTCTTGGCTAGGAAAATCAGACTCTAACAGTACTGACTGACTACGGTGAAGAGAATTCTCCCGTGGGGCAGGGCTGTGTGAGGCCCAGGGACAGCTGAGGGAGCCGAGCATCCCAGCTGCCCTGCCCGGCTGCATGGAGCTCCGCTTTTTGGGTTTCTGTGGCCAGTGTTTTGTTTTGTTTTTTTCTTCAGCTTCTCATTAATTAGTACCAGAACATACAGGTTAAGAAAACAGGCTCCGGAGTCCGAAAGAACTAGTGTCAGTCTGGCTGCTTATTATGTGATCTTGAAGTGAAAAGTGAAAGTCACTCAGTCATGTCCAACTCTTTGTGACCCCATGGACTATGGAATTCTTCAGGACAGAATACTGGAGTGGGTAGCGGTTCCCTTCTCCAGGGGATCTTCCCAATCCAGGGATCAAACCCAGGTCTCCTGCATTGCAGGCAGATTCTTTACCAGCTGAGCCACAAGGGAAGCCCAAGGATACTGGAGTGGGCAGCCTATCCCTTCTCCTGCAGATCTTCCTGACCCAGGAATTGAACTGGGGTCTCCTATATTGCAGGCAGATTCATTACCAACTGAGCTATGTGATCTTGGGCAGGTGGTTTTTAACCTCTCGGTTAAAATTGCTCATCTTAATTTCCTTCCCTGTAAAAATAAGGATAATAACCTTTGGAAAATAAGGACAATAATTTTGTGGAAGCAGTCTACATCAAGGGTTTAGCATGGTACCCACTGTACAGTAGGAGCTCAACAACAGTAGTGACTAACGCTCCTCTGACCCCTAAGAACACAGCAGTGCTGGTCTAAGAGACATAGGCAGGGTTGGAACTCCGTGAAACTGCAAGGCTAGCTCCTCCTGCCATTAGTGTGCCCCCTGTCACAGGGTCCCAAATCCTTCTACTTCTGGTCAACAATGGATTTGTTGACCAGAGAGACCGTCCGATTTCAATGAAAAGAAGAGAGAGACAGAGAGACATCATCTGATTTCAAATGCTTGTTATAAGTCTGTTCTCTGTGTCTGCACCTCCATTGCTGTCCTGCAAGCAGGTTCATCTGTACCATCTTTCAAGATTCCATATGCATGTGTTACAGGGTGGGATGAATTGAGAGAATAGCACGGAAACAGATACATTACTGTAAGTAAAAGAAAAAGCAAGTGGGAATTTGCCGTGTGACACAGGGAGCTCAGGCCAGGGCTCTGTGACAACCTAGAGGGGTGGGATGGGGTGGGATGGGGAGGGAGGTGGGAGAGGGGTTCAGGAGGGAGGGGACATATGCATACCTGTGGCTGATTCATGCTGATGGATGGCAGAGGCCAACAAAACATTATAAAGTAATTACCCTCCAATTAAAAAAACAGTGAAAAAGAAAAAAGAGTACATGGAATATCTAGTATCACCTCTACCTGGGAAGAACCCAGAAAATGCTAGGCATTGGAGCTAAAAAGGAAGAGAAGGAGCACAGATAACTGTGGCTTGGGATGCAGGGATTCGGACATCAGGTGTAGGGGTATTAAAAGATAGGAAGTTAAATAAATGGATAAGTGTAAATTGCATACATGAAGAAATTATATGAAGGTGAATTATTTTGGGGAAAAAAATGCTTGTTATGCCTTCCCAATTTTTTTTCTGTAGAATTTTAGTACAGGGGAAACAAATGAGGAATTAGTTTTTTCCTGAACACACAAAAAACACGCCAAGTGAAAGAAGCCGGCTCAGAAGATCATTTATTTATGTAAGTCTCTTTATATGAAATTTCTAGAACAGGTAAATCCATGCAGACACAAAGTGGGGCAGTGGTTGCTTGTGGTTCAGGGCGAGAATGAGTGGTGCCTGCCAAAGGGCACGGCGATCTTTTTGGGGTGATGGAAATGTTCCAGAATCAGACTCTGATGCTGGCTGCACATCTCTGTGTATTTACTGAAAACTACTGCATTATACTCTTAAAGAGCATGAATGATGTTGCTGCTGTCACTCTGTCGTGTCCGACTCTTTGTGACCCCACGGACTGCAGCACGCCAGGCTTCCCTGTCCTTCACCATCTCCCGGAGCTTGCTCAGACTCATCATCACTGAGTCAGTGATGCCATTCAACCACACTATAATTACACAGCGTGAATTACATTGCTATGTAAATTATACCTCAGTGAAGCTGTTAAAAGAATTAGTGTTTTCCTTGCAGCCAACAAAAATTAACAGAATATACTGAGGATCTGCCAAATGCCTGAGAGAACACAGGGACAGAGTTTACCAGCTTCTGAGAAGCTGAGGGCACTGTCAGGACAAGACAGAGTTCATGGAACAGGCAAGAACCAAAGTCAAGCTTTGCAAGATTAAAAAGCAAATGTAAAGTTGAGGGGGAAAAAAGCAAATTAAGCAATCCGGGACTATGCCCACAAGGCACAGCCAGCCCCCATTAAAAATACAGAGGAAGGAATAGTACTTTCACGCACACACACACACACACAAAAACCCGGGGGGACCAAATTCTTCTTAAAACCTGGAGAGAGGGGTCTCTCCAAGACCACCTATTGACTCACTGGAAAAGACCCTGATGCTAGGAGGGATTGGGGGCAGGAGGAGAAGGGGACGACAGAGGATGAGATGGCTGGAGGGCATCACCAACTCGATGGACATGAATTTGAGTAAACTCCGGGAGTTGGCGATGGACAGGGAGGCCTGGTGTGCTGCAATTCATGGGGTCGCAAAGAGTCGGACATGACTGAGCAACTGAACTGAACTGAACTGATTGCTGTCAAACTGCAGGGGATATCTAGTTGGGTACACTTGTCCAGACTAAAGCTTTTACCCTCAGAAACCCTGCAGGTCACAACAGAAAATAGTATACCTGTGAGCCAGAAGCTCTGAGATACCTGTTCAAAAGATAGGCACCATCGGACAGCTAAGTAAAATGATGTAGAGGGTTGGCTCCTATTTGAAGTCTTATAGGGACTTGGAAATGTTCTTGTTCCCTTGGCTGACATGGTTCCTGACAATTGTCTGGCCCTTGATAATCTTCTGACAGAACAACTGCTTCCTGCTGCACTTGGATCAATGTGCCAGAACAGATAAAATGTAATATTAAGGAAATACAAGCCTAGGCTACATATTGTCACCCGGCTTATTTAACTTATATGCAGAGTACACATGTGAAATGCCGGGCTGGATGAAGCACATGCTGGAATCAAGATTGCTGGGAGAAATATCAATAACCTAAGATATGCAGATGACACCACCCTTATGGCAGAAAGCGAAGACAGACTAAAGAGCCTCTTGATGAAAGTGAAAGAGGAGAGTGAAAAGCTGGCTTAAAACACAACATTCAGAAAACTAAGATCATGGCATCCGGTCCCATCACTTCATGGCAAACAGATGGGGAAACAATGGAAACAGTCAGAGACTTTACTTTTTTGGGCTCCAAAATCACTGCAGATGGTGACTGGAGCCATGAAATTAAAAGACATTTGCTCCTTGGAAGAAAAGCTATGACCAACCTAGACAACATATTAAAAAGCAGAGGCATTACTTTGCCAACAAAGGTCTGTCTAGTCAAAGCTATGGTTTTTCCAGTAGTCCTGTATGGATGTGAGAGTTGGACTATAAAGAAAGCTAAATGCCGAAGAATTGATGCTTTTGAACTGTGGTGTTGGAGATTTTTGAGAGTCCCTTGGATTGCAAGGAGATCCACCCAGTCCATCCTAAAGGAAATTAGTCCTGAATATTCATTGGAAGGACTGATGCTGAAGCTGAAACTTCAACACTTTGGCCACCTGATGCGAAGAACTGAGTCACTGGAAAAGACCCTGATGCTGGGAAAGATTGAAGGCAGGAGGAGAAGCGGACGACAGAGGATGAGATGCTTGGATGGCATCACCGACTTAATGGACAGGAGTTTGAGGAAGCTCTGGGAGTTGGTGATGGCCAGGGAGGCCTGGCAGTCCATGGGATCGCAAAGAGTCAGACATGACTGAACGACTGAACTGAACTGAACTGAACAAGCCCAGGTGATATTGCCTCCCTTATCAACATTAAGGAAGACCAAAGTTAACCAGGTTCCTTCTCTAGGTCCTTCAATGGTTATTGTTCTCCTTTACATCCCTTGCTTGTTTAACCTTTTGGTTAAGTTTGTGTCCTTTTGGCTCCAACAGCCTGATGTAAGGCTCATGATGGCTCAAGGAACTCAGCCCATTCCAGTGGAGAGTGGCCCAGGTCCCTACAGGTGCTTGGAACAGTCAGCGAGGGACGTCTACACCTCTAGGGTAGGCGAAGGTCTGTGGTCCCTGTCCAGCAGGAAGAAGTTTCAGAATCTTGAGCATCTTAAGAACAACAATGTACAGTCTCTCAGCAGGGAATGAGACAGGTCTGGGGTCTGGGACCCTTTGCTGCATTGCTGCAAAGTTTACACCTGAACAACCGCTCCTCCAGCAATAAAACACAAAGAAACTATATGGGATGAAAAATAACTGCCTGCATGAGCAGTTAGGGCAGATTCTGGGCAAAGGATACAAAGAGACCAAAAAACCCAACTGCCATGAAGAGCAAAAGCATGCCCCAGCACCCAACACCACCTAAGGGGTGGGCAGACCACGTAAGTAAGCCACCCCCCCCCCCCCAACCTGACCCCTGGACACATCCCTACCCTCTCCCATATAAGGAACAAGCTCAGCCTTCCTTGGGGTGCAGAGCAAGCA